CTACAAAAAGGCAGTTGTGCCAGATCATGAACTAAAACCAGGGAAATAAAGTCCGTCGAACGAAAGCGCCAAACAGTAGCTTCAGAACTAAATGAGGATTTCTTGGCAAGGGCATCAGCCACCATGTTAGCCCACGAAAGATATTGGAAATTGACCACATACGATAGGAAAGTCTGTACCAGCAATTCTCTGCAATTGTATATATATAACATCCATGGAGCTTGACAATGATAATTTCTCTTGAAATCATTGGAAATGCTAACTTGATCTTTTTGTCAAAATAAAGGAAATCTGCTACAAAATTAAGTCTACTTAAAATATTCAAACTAACCGAAATTAAAGAAAAAAATGAAATAAAAGTTTAAACTCGAGACGCCCGAAGTTAGTGGTGCTGCCCGTATCAAGACCGCAGGTTATTTACGTGTCTTTGCCTTCACTTTTTCTATTAGAAATTGGTTGACTTTCCCATTTGATATGCTGGAAATATTGGCTATGGATGGTTTTTGTTTTGTTTTTTTGGGTGAGTACTATGGATGTATGAGAGAGGTTAGCATTGAATTAAGTGTTTCGTATCTTAAATCTAAGGTCATGGCTTCTAGGATCTAATGTTTGATGGCTAAAGTTCTAAGCTAAGGTTAAGAGGATCTAGGCTAGGGCTTTATTCTCTAGGATTTTTTGTTTAAGTATCTTGGGGGTTAGTCTTCTTAAGTGTAGGTTTACTTTCGGATTAGGTCTCTACATCTAAGATTATGTGTTGGTCTATTGAATGATCTGAAATAGAACCCTTATATAGGCTTCAAAAGTTTGTTCTAAGTCAGTCAAAAATGATTTCTAATGGATTTTTACAGAAAATTTGAGTTAACAAAGTCAAAAGGTTTAGATGCAACAAAAAGTGGTGTTTTCAGACTTTTAATCTAGAGGCCACAAAAACTAGCGTCTAAAACATGGTTGGCTAATTTTTTGGGATTTCGCTGATGTTCTTGATCCAAATTCCGTATTTTCTTGAGCATACTTATCTCGAAAGATTTTATCTAAGTCGGTTTTTCTATTTTCTAGTGTTTAGGATGACGAGATTTTAAAATGGTTTCCTAGGGTTTTAATATTATCTTGGAGATTCTCTATAATGTTCTAGGAGGTTGGGACCATGGTCCAAAGGACCATATAAAAGATAGACTATGGTGTATTTAGATAGGATGGTCCCTAAGGGTCTACAAGGTATTTCTAAGGCACTTTTAGAGATTTAACATTAAGAAAAATAACCAAATTCAAAATGGTATATCTACACATCTTAAAAGGTAAACGATGGTTCTAAACCCATAACCTTGCAGCTGCTTGCTGGAGGACCTACCGATGTACTCGCTCCACACCATGTGCCTTTAAATTGTGATATAAATTAGAATTGCACTTTATTCAATTCTTATTTATTTTTTTATTTTATGGGATGATGGATGCAGACCAATCCGATTAGCAATCTGGCCAGATGATATGCCCCTCCGATCCGGGTTTTAAAAAACTAGTCATAACATATATGTACGTGGGATGTGCCATATAAGTATCAAAATTACAATAATTATAAGTGATACCACTCATATACAAGATATAACTCACATATACTATTATATCATTAAGGAAAAAATTTATATAAAGTTGCAATTTTAAACTGTATAATTAAGATGCAACTTAAAAATCCATCGAAAAAAGTGTTTTGAGTTTGGGAACCTTTTAATTGATCATGTCAACATCGAAATATATGGATAAAATAAAAAATAAAAACATTTAAGTCAAACATAATGCATCTTGCAATATATTATCTAAGATCGTTTCAAGATTTTCATGTGTATTGCTTGATTTGATCCATTTTTTGAATTAAAAGTTTTATAAAATAGATCCTCAAATCATCCCAAGAATTTTCGCCTCCAAAATCGTATCTTACAGTGAGGTGCACATTTCCAATGTCGCAACCTAATGCAAACCACACCCGTTAGTTAATATCCAGCATGGTAATACATGATATCGCCATAATAATACGAACCACTATCATATTTTCAGCACACAGTGACCAACACAAATATTACATTTATGAGGTGGAAAATGTGTTAACAACGTGGTTTGCATGATGCACAGTGCAAAACCTAGTAATTTTACTGTGTACGGTTATGTATGACTAGTCAAATAAGTAATGTTGTAACCAGGGTTTGAAAACTCGTCAAGTCGAGTCGGATTCATTTGGTTCGACTCGAGAATCGTCTACAACCAAGCCGGTTTCACGAAAAAACAAGGAATCGCTCGTGTCCAGAGAGAATCAGGCGATTCCCAAAAGAGAGAACCCCAAAAGACAGAACCGGGCGATTCCCTTTTGGGAATCGCGAGTCTTACACGTGGCCTCTTCACGGGAGCAACACGTGGTACCTAAAAATCCTCCACACGTGGTAATTCACCTCACATGTCGGCCCCATCGTTTTTCTACACGCGCAATGCAACATCTATTACACATGAATTTATAGAGAACAAAACAAAGCTTATCCTTCGATGAGAGATAATTTCCACAAAAGATCATTAAAGCAAGACGATTGAATATATATTTTATAGTAGCTAATAACATCACATTAGGGAACGAGACGGTGTTGGTTGACATCTACAATTTTTCGGTGGACGTCTAGACTTCGAACCCCTTAGCGCGCGTCCTCGTTTATATTTTTGTTGTCAAAAGAATAAGCAAAGGCAGAAAATACTGTTGTAAAAAAATAGAAAAAATAAAAAATAAAAGGCTTTTCAAGATAAAGATAAAAAAGATAATACAACATTTTTTTATTTTTCTTGTAAAAAAAATACAAAGTTATATAACAAGTATTTTTTGCAAAAAAATAAAACAAAATGCATCAAAAATAAAATGCACTTTGGCAACATCATTTTTTTATTTTTCTTGTAAAAAAAATAAAAATTAATACAAGCAAAAAAAAATGTGATACAACATCTTCTTCTTTTGTCAAAAAAAAAAAGAAGATAATCAACAAGTATCATATTTTTCTTGTAAAAAAAAAAAAATAATAACACAATAAGTATTTCTTGTCAAAAAAATAAAAGGTATTTATTAATACAACCTAGGAATAAATGGTCTAATTATATTTTTTATTTTTATAACATGATGGTCTTTAACATAAATTTAGTAATATTAATTTAAATATAGGATTCATACAATGAGGCCATTTGAATCTCTCTCTGTCTACTAACAATCTCTTCCACTAATTTATTTTAGAAACCTAAAAAATTAAAGAAAATTGGTACGCATTCTAATAATTTCTTCATTGATAACCAAATATTTTATTTTATTTATTAATTTTTGTATTATAAATCATGTAGTGTACTATTTTTATTACAGTTGTCAATAATACATTATAAATTAGATGATATTATAAAATATTTTGAATTTGTTATTATTTTTATAATAAAATAATTATAAAATATTGTTGATATATAATATTACAGTTAGTTAGGTTGTAATAATTTGGATTTTTTTAGCATATTAGGGTTTTCCGCCAATTTGAAATTTTAGTGGCCAATTTTTCATCGATTTAGTCAACTCTTTATTGTAGTCCATATATGATTATATACTTAATCCATGATAATTCTATGATTTCTTTTGTGTGATGTAAATTTAATGATCAACATAAGTTCATACAAGGAAAGAACATCCCAATATTCATAAATTGATGAAAACAATAAAAGATAATAATGCAATACCCTTATTTCTTATTGGATTCCTAAAAAACATATTTATAATGAATTTTAATAATTTTTTTTAATTTTTTTAAAGCTTAATCCGAACGATTTAGCCCGATCCGAAATCCGGATCAATTTTTGAAATGTCCGATCCGGGTCACCGATCCGTTAAACATTGGTTGTAACATAATGAGTGCAACGTATTGTATGTTAAGAAACGAGCCCAAGTTTAATTGGTTAGCATTTGGTGATTTGCAACGCTAGATCCTAAACAATTGCTACCAAGGGTCTCCCCACTTAGTCAACCCAAAAAAAAAATTCTTGCTTACGAATTTCTTCACTTTTCCCTTCAAAGTCAATTTTGAAAATGACATGGGGCTTTGTTAATAATACTGCTGAATCCCATGATGAAGTTTTCGACTCCATTCGCATTAAAACGTAAGGGCCCAAATCCCCACTGACTGACCCCTTTTTTCTTAACCATAATGACACTAGAAAAAAGAGCCCAAGCTTAAGTGATTAACGCTTTACGATTTGCAAAGCTACATCTTAAGCTCAATTCCTACGAAAGATAGGAGCCCTTTATCCCGACTCACCAAAAAAAAAACTATAATTTCTCCCCATTGAATAATAAAAAAAAAAATTTCACTTACCCCAAAAATATAACACACTGAGTTGCATGCATATTACTGATGTTGACGTAGTATACACCACCATATAATGTGTACAGGTGCATGTAATTGACTATATACAAGTACACAAAAGCACAAATGGTAATTTGTTTGTAGGTTGACAGCGTAGGTATTAAAGGTCACCAAACATATGCTGACCATGTTTAGGCATGGTGCATACACGACCCTTGTACAATATATGATGCATTTCTCACCATTATATATACACTACCATGTATATCCCAAGTGTAGTCCAACCTCTACCATCACCATCCAGAGACTGGTTTGGTAGTGTTGAAAACCGTTACCATAGATCATGGAGTCGGAGATCATACTAACCCCCTCAAAACGAACTTCTCATAATAGCTGATTGAGAGCTCCCAATACAAATAAATAAATAAGAAAGCGGTATCACAGTCATTCTATGAAAATTTATTGACCATCCCACAATAATCAAGTACGGGATATATTCCCTATTCAGAAGTGTATATATATATAGCGCAAGAGAAGGAAACATATATAGCGCAAGAGAGAAGGAAACAGACCACATACTTCTGGTACACAAAAATTACAATCATTGTTGACCATTAAATGTGAAACCATTAAATGTGAAATCAAGTGGAATACGATGTATCATTGATTGGCACAAAGCCCCAATTAAAACTTCTTGAAAGTCGTAACTCAATTTAATGTGTAAATTTCACGTCCAATGACTACAGCGATCGCAACATCCTTGTACTATGCATACAATACATATAGTATTGTCTCAGAGACATTGAGCTGTTTATGTTTGAAATTTTGATGCAGCAGGTGATTTGTTTAGAATGTTGAATTGAAGAGTCATAACATCTAGAGGCCCATTCCAACACAACAATCACTCCCTCCTGTGGAAGAGCATTAGAAAAGCAAAAGAGAAAGCGATGATTTGGCAGGATTCAGAGAAGTTAAGAACAAGTTTCACTCAGTCATTCCTTCATTCAGACAACATTTTTAAATAAAAAGAAATGAAATGAAGCAGCATCTGCTCCCTGAAGTCTGAAGAACCCCCTCAAGAATTGTTTTCTGGGAACACCTTCTGTATAGACCGCAAGAAACGGTGAGAGTAGTGCATGGGATCGACAGCTGAGATGGAGAGGGAATCAAATTGGAGGGATTTGTAGGCGTGCTCGATTCTTTTATTCATATTGTAGTCTTGTAGTATATCAATGATACCTAGATAGAGGACCACATCATACACTTCGTGAAACAACTGTTCACTCTTGTTGGTTTCACCATTTGGGACATACTCTGCCCGAGCAGGCATGTTCACACCAAGTTGAATTTGAAGTCTGCCTCACCAAACAGAAAAGGAATTACATCAGTCTAGAGAGAGAGAGAGAGAGAGAGAGCACTTCAAATTTATTCTTCAGTTGGATTCAGGATTCACAAAAGCACAAGAGAAAAGTGATGACCTGGCTGTGCCTGGGAGAAGCAAATCTACTTCTTCATCACCAGCTGCTGATGCTCGCAGACGGTTGCCACGTATATGGGGACCAACCACGACGCCGTCCTCGAGCGGCCCACGTGCAATCAGAACAAGACCCCTCGGGTAGCATGAAATCTCGTCCTCGTGAGCTGCTGACACTGCACCACCACCACCATCACACCTTGAATTCAACTCAGTCTGGCCAATCAGTGTCAACAGAACTGGATAGGACGACTCTTAAAAGTGTTCCTTTGGTTTCTATGAGAGGTTGGATGGTTGAAAACCGTTTAAAACCCTAAAACATATCACAAAATTTTTACAAATAAACATGTGCTTTACCAAGATCTGGTTTTCACTACACCAATTACGAGAAGGAACTACAGAGATTGATTTAGATAGATACCGGTGCCAATCAAGGAAAGAACTAAAGAGATTGATCTAGATAAACACTAAAAGTATCCTTTTGACTATAACTTACACACGTCGGCCTAAACATACAGTTCAACAAAAACAAATACTCTTTTTCCTTCCTCTAGTAGGGTATTTATTTCTTTCCCCACCACTAAATTACAAGTCCCTCACAGACATCGGTGGTTTGATCAAGTCTTTGGACAAAGCTTGTGGAAGGATAAAATTATCACCTATAACTTCAGTCCTCGACTCTCAGCACTTCGGGATTTTCAATGTCATAGATACTCCTTTGATTCATATTCACCATAAGTTAACATACATTGCAGTTCATCAAGATTTGTATCCATTACAGACAGGCCATTATTATGCATTGAATTGATAAAGGTGTAGTGCATCATAACCACTCATACCATTATAAGTAGTGAAAAAAGATATAGGGACTAATGGCCTCACTGAGGATATGGTCTTGATAGCAGAACAGCGAACCAGGATTTGTACAGTTGACCCTATATGGTTAGGAAAAAGGCTTTCATGGTGATGATACCATGATACCATCATATGGTATCGAAGGGGTTTCAACTAATTCTTTCGGTGGAGAAATGCAAATTTGTCCATCACAATGAGTTTCAGTTTTTCTACTGAAATTTTTTTTTTTTTGTTAAGCTAAATTCTCAAAAGTGGAAACCCGGCCTTAAGCCTAGAATCCATTTAGAATATGCTTTTTGAAACTTTTTAATTTGAAGTGTAGAACTTCAAGGAAAAGGGTAATCATAACAAACCAATCATTCAAAAAAAAAATAATTATAGCAAACTGTAGTTAGAAAAGCTATGAAAAATAATAGGAAAAATGATCAAAATACCTATAAGAGATGAAGCATTTAACATTTTTTCCATTTGCAACTATTCCAACTCAAAATCATATGTTTTCTTTTTGAGTATTTTTAAATTCAAATAAAAGATGTGGGTAAGGTGTTAAATTGTTCATTCCACCTTACCCAAAAAAAAAAATTACCGAAGTACCTATAAAAGAAATTAATATTTTAGATACTCATTCCAATATGCTACATATTTTTCTTAATTGGTGGATGGTACACATTTATCAAACAATATATTGTTTAGGGACCACAACTATTCATTGAATAATCGAGAATCAAAGCAACAACTATGATATATCTTCCAATGACTCTAACCTCTAGGCAAGGATATTACAAAGGCATTTCGAGCAAAGTGCTGCATTTCTATTAGTTACTGCACAGGGGTGCTCCAAACTAGAAGGGCGCCCAATTATAACTTTAAAACATATAAATTGTGTATTATCCATTTAGACACCAATGATTTCTGCAACATGTTCATTTACCTAACGATATTTAGAGAATGCAAATTTGAAAGGAAGTAACCATCACATGGAGTATGCTCAATTTTTTCCTCCTCCAGGAATGGGCTCAAGATAGGTGGTCAGCATGGCAAGGTGACACAAGATGACATCTTGAGTTCCATTCCTACCACAGATATGCAAGCCCTTCCCAGTTGAACTGCCCAAAAGAAAAAAAAACCCCAAATCTTCGCAAACTTTGTCCAAAAGGAATTGACTTTAACGAAGGAAATTAAGAGGGACCATTCACCAAATGGGAAAAAAAATACCACCATAGCCCTCTTTCAAGAGTAGGTTGGAAACACACATCATGCAACCGTAGAATTCGAGGCTTACTATGTATTCTTCTCTTAGCATCGGTGTTCAAAAGAAAATGGCGAACCGGACAAAAAACAGCCCATTCGGTTCGGCAACTGGTGGGGCTGGTTCGGTTCTGCTAATATATCCAAAGCCGGTCCCTCTGTAACAAAACGAGATGGTTTTGCAAGAGAACGGGCCCCACTTTTATTTTTTAATTTTTTTCATTATTTTGCTATTCAAAATTTTTATTGGCAGGATCGCCGATGCGGACCACCGATCTATTGAACCAGACCAGTTTTCTGAATGAGCAATCCGGGTCACCAATCCGTGTTTTTCTTGCTTATCATACACTCTAAGTAGCACTGTACCAAATTCCAATTGCCAATGCCTTGGTAGCATTTTAAGTACATCCCTTCAAATCAGCCTACATCCTACGATGTGGGACTAAGACTCGCTCCAAGCAGTTGGACCTTGGGATATATAATTGGAATTTAAATGACTCTCCTTTTCTTGAGAGAAACTTTTAAAGGTCTAGTCATTAAACAAAGCCTACAAAGAAGTACAACCATACCCCCCACTCAGGAGGAGGTTGTGCATCACACAAGAGCACATTCAAGGCTTATATTGTATGCTCCTTAAGGTAGAATGCCTCAAAGTGCATGGCTAAAACTAGTTCCAAACCATTCTACCTGGCTCCAAACTTTTAGACTACTAGTAAAAAATCACCCATCATACCAATTAGATAGTAGTACAAGAAAAATTGCCAAAGTAGGTACATCACACTTAACTGTTTCAAAAATAATTATAACAATAAGAATAAACTAAAAGGTACATCCTCTTTATAGCTGAAGAACATTTGCAAGAAGGGGCCCAATTTGTAATGGAACTCCCTTTTTATGGAGACGGAATCCAATCTGTCCGATGGATATAAAATAGAGAGCCTAACAACATCCACCAGTGCCCATACTAAAATATGTGGATAGGGGATGCTGTCCAAATCGATGTGGGCCACTTATGTTACAAATATACAAATATATGCTTGCATTCAATACAGATAAACATGTTAGAAACATGGATGCCAAGATTGTCCTCTCAAACATAGAACCTCCGCACATCACTTAAAGGACGGAGGAGGTGGGATTTTAAGTGACATTAAGTAATTAAAGAAAAAAAAACAACAAAGCAGAATTGTCTAGGTTAAGTGTTGGATGTATGTTGTGTTTCTTTCATGTCAACATGTGCCAAGAACTATGAATGCACATGTTTGAGTTACATATGGACTGACAAATTTCAAGTTTCACCTAATAACTGGTCATATCCTAAGAGAAAGGGGGGTGGCTCACCTCCCACAGCCCAATCCCCATATTTTAATAAATGGATAGGGAAGCCAGTTTTTAGACATCCCTTAATTTAATAAATGACAAGGATTAGGCACGTTGTTAGCTCTTATGCCAGTCCAAAGATTAACAACAAAATCCTCTATTGCTTGAGTGATTTCCACTATACATGTTTTGCTATTCACTCTTCATCTGATAGACTGATACATCCATATGTAGTTGCTCGAGAGATTTCTAATTCACATGTTCTTGCATTCTCCCTCATCTAATACATCTAATACAAATATTACACTTTGTATGTGTATTGTAATGGGCATAGTGGTAATATTTGAAGTTCCTATGCCTATTTATTTATGTAATGTACTCATTGTAGTATCCCATGTATATGAAGGAGATAAGAGTAAATTACCCTTAACCCTAACACAAGCAAGCACAAATTTGCACCTGCATGCAACACCCAATGACATGCATATTCCCCAGGATTCACTCTTCATCTTCTACATTTTGACAACATTTTCACATGGTCTCAAAACATAGGATCTAGATCTCGTTGATCCATTCCTACGGTAAGAACCCATAAAATCTCTTTTGACCACCATTTTTCTCTCCTTCACACTAAAATCAGATTTCATCTCTAATTGAAAACTCTATTCAAAATCCTAGCTGAAATCTCTCTATCTCTCTTCACAAGATCACTTTTTGAAACCCTAGCCAAATCCTTCTCTCTCCACATGATCCCCATTCAAAACTGAGTCAAAACCTCTCTCTATTGCTCCTCAAGCGCATCCAAAAAATAAAAATAAAAAATTTCCTGGTTAGCAAAGTTGCTCAACCCTATATATTTCTTTCTCCCTTGCCTAAAAAAGCCTGAAGAGTTTTATTTCTTCATTTTCATCCATCTCCTACTTAAGCAACTAATTAAGTAGTGTAGGAAAAAGGAAGAGACGTCCACATGATCTTTACCGATTTAGAGAAATTATATGATAGGGTACCTAGAGAGTTAATTTGGTGGGTGTTGGAAAAGAAAGAAGTCTCTAGAGGATATATAGACATAGTGAGAGATCTGTATGAAAGAGCACCAACCAGTATGATGACAACTAGTGGAGAGACAACTGGGTTTTTAGTAACAGTAGGCCTACATCAAGGTTCAGTGTGGAGCCCATACCTCTTTGTTTTGGTTACGGACGAGTTAACAAGGCATCTACAGAATGAGGTACCGTAGTGTATATTTTTGCAAAGAACTTGAGTTTTGATGGATGAGACTAGACGAGGTGCCTTCAACGCAAAGTTAGAACTTTGGAGGAATGCACTAAAATCTAAAGATTTTAAGATCAGCCGGACTAAAACAATTGCAAATTTAATAATAACAAGAGTAGAAATGACAAAGTAGTTAAGATTGATTGCCAAGAAATACCTTAAAAGAGACTATTTTCAATATCTTGGGTCGATAATCCAAGAGAATGGAGAGATTGAGGAGATGTCGCGCATAGAATTAGAGTTAATTGACAAAGTGGATATGATTGTCACATACCAGTGAAATTGAAAGGGGAGTTCTATAGGACCGCTATAAGACCAGCTATGCTTTATGGGGTGGAATGTTAGTGGGTCAAGAAACAAAATATCCATAGGATTTGCCCCATTTTCTTATTGCTCAGGTAAAGTTCCAGGGCAGACGAAATCCTGGAACAGAGCTGCTGAGCAGAGGTGGAACTCGGTTGCAAATATGACAGAACCTAGT